CTGAATCATGCAGGTCATTGCATAGGCCAAATCCCAAATTTCTATCTCTTAAGGCCTCCTTCAGTTCGACGGCAATGGCGGAACCCTCGAAATAAAAGCCCTTCGTTACACACTGCATCGAACAGTAGCAGTACATCATTTATAGGAGTTTCAACAGAAGCCTTTCTAAGAACAACAGTACAAAACGGTAGCCGCAAAACTGTTCATTTTAGAAAGTTATCACCCGTTATATTTGGCTGAGAAAACTCTTCTAAAATTAAAAAGGAAAACAGCGCAAACAGTTGCATATGTCACGATATCGAAATATCAATGAACCTTCAACATCAATGAAAACAATTACTTGATCAACATTTTCTACTAGAAAATCACTAGTAAAGTGAAAAATGAAACCAACAGCACTTAAGCCGTAATCGAGATACATTCGTATTTACATGACGACAATGCGATAAAAATATTCTTAAAAGGGCTTGCATTTTCAGAGATTACTCAGTAGCAAATAATCTGAGCATTGCAATTGCTGTGCTAAAAATTTTTGCGGGTTCCCCTTCTATAAAAATGACTAACACCCGCGACGCCTCGGAAAAGCTCCTCAAAAGTCTTCACTAAACACCATTTTGGCGGAAATGTGATCAGGACGCACCGAAACTACCGTATTTTGGCATTCTTAAGGTGAACTCTATGCGAAAATGATAGCTACAGATTTATAAATTAGCCAAGGAAGGAATCAAACTCATGGCGAATCAAGGTAAAGCTAATGGGAATTTGAAGTGAAAGAAATGAAGAAGTATCACAGATGAGTTTTGATAAGAAGGATTGCACCATTTTGTGCGTGAAACAAAGACCTAAAGAAAGAGCTCATCAGAAGTGTAACGAAGCGAAGGAATGGTACCTAGGACATCGTCATTCCTCTTTCAGAAATGCAGATATGCTCCTCGAGTAAACAGATTTTACTCAAGTAAAAAGGTAATGCAACTAATCAAGGCGAGTTAGCGGAAGATTACACATACTTGACCGCCTCCCGCAAGCACACAAGGTGCTTCGCAGGATGTTAACGAAAGGCTTAAAACTTCGAACGAATTCCTAGCCATCGATATTCAACCAATCGTCATCGATCTCAATCTCTTCAGAAAGGTGACGGATAATTCGCGAAGAGCCGAAGAAATCGGTTACTCGAACACGAGATGGCTCCTTCGGATAAACATCCTTACGTACTCCTTAAGAAGACAAAATCACTTTGAGACACTAGGACTCTACAAAAAAACAGATATTTCAAAGACTAAAACATCTGCAGGAAAATCACTGACCAACAGTTGATAGGCATTGACGACGTGGGCAAGAATCAAGGTAATCTTGCATTGTGGCCGTAGAATTCAGAGCTTTACCTTTCACTTCCCGGATGTTATCACGCGCACCGTTGAAATGGGTATCTCTGCAACGGCACACTTCTGCCTTATTCCAATATAATTGGAATCGTTTGGGTAAAAAATGACAGCCAATTTTCGTATATGAATACCTTATTAGCATACATACATTCGTAGTGGCGTTTGAATGCGATGTGGCCTATACAATGACTTGCGGGGGCCAGCCGATGTACAAGTCAGTGTTTTTATCCTCCCAGACAAGTCTGGTACCAATTAACCGACCCCGGAGGGATGGAAGGCTTGGTTGGCCCGGGCGACTCACGACCCAGGATTTGATCCCGGACCGCTCGCGTGGTAAGCGCGCCACTTGCCACTACACCACTTCCGCCCTTATCCCTTTTGGTGCAGTCAATAAATCAAACATAGAACTATTCATAGTTTTCATAGTCATCCAAACTCCGTTGAATGCAATACTGAAATACTGAGTCAGCTGAATGTACGCAAGGAAAACTTAAAGGCGGATTTTGTAATGAAAAGGCAGCTCATTGGAAATCAAGTAGAGATGGTCAGTGATACACAAAGAAGAAAAAACCATGAAAAACGGCCCAGAACCCGAGAAATGGGACCCCTTCCTTGCCCGTTGATTTGCGCATTGATGCGACTCTCATCGTGCTGCCCTCTTCAACGCTAACGCTCTCTCTCTCTGCTAAACGGCTAGAGACTCAGACAGCGCGTACCGCGCCGATAACCGCGCCAATAGCGCCGCGGGAAAGGCCATGATGGCAGGGGCATGTCATTCGATGCGAATTGCGTGTAGGCCCACACCCTGGGACGTCCGCCTTTCTCTTCACTCAGGAATTTTCCCCTTATTCGACCTTCACCATTATCGAGGAATTCTCCTTTAATGAAGAATTACTTCACTCTACCTATCAATGACGTATACTCCGATTTCGTCATCTACATCGTACGAGTAGCTCTCCTCATGTGTCAAACTGCTGCTGGAAGAAAGCACGCCAGGACTCGACACCCATTCGTACATCGAAGCGCTTCGACAAGTGTCAGCAATCAAAAACATTTCATGATACCTGAATAAGAATGCCGTTAGTTGGAAATAGCATCTCGTTGTCATGTATTAGATCTTCGCGCCAGTTCAGGGTGCCTGTCAGAGCAGGCGTCTTGAACCCGTGGAATCCGCACCAATATATACACTACATAGTTTATAACGTTAGAGCTGTCTGATCTCGAAAACTGAGAATATGTTCGTGAATCAGCACGAAAACTATGCGACACACGTACACTACACAGAGCATGATAACACATCGCAACCTGATGTCTAGGAGCTTCTACAGGGTGTAAAATTCATCGCTGTCAGAATTCACTAAAAGGATGGAAAACCAAATTGTATGCTGACTGGCTTTCTAGGCGACTGTATAAGCCATGCATCCATTGAAAGCCTTTTAGAACTACGGAAGCCAATGCAGAATTGGCTGCAGATTAGTCCATTAGCGTCCCCATTTTATAAGGCTTGCAAGGCGCAGTTTTTTCGCGCCAACTGCCATACAAGACCAGCATTATTCCAAACTTATCAGCTGTATATTGAAGCATTTTCAGAGCCGCAAGTAATATCAAATGTTCCCGTCTATACCATGGTTCCCACAAACACTATTCTCACTCGATAAGTTGCACAACACAGTGAGAATCACGTTCTATTCCGATATATTTGCTGTACACCGCAATACAGCACGCAGGGTACAACCCGCGGTCTCCTTCACCAGAAAGGTCCCTCTTGACGGTGCAAGTTCTAGATCAGTAATCACAGAAGTCGGGTCGTTTTCCGCACCCAAGCGTGTCTTAAAAGTATTGACAGAAGGTTAGGACTTGATCCTGTGCTTTTATTGAATCCAAAACCCCGCCAACCTCATGTGTTGTCTCATCCGTGTCATATCTCTGATCTGCTACGCTCTTTGGCCTCAAAGTCCCTCTTATTTTCTGTGTCGCTGTCCGCTGCTTAGAATGCACCCTATCGTAAAACAAGGAACTCCGTATTTTTGGTGTTTTTTGTTTTCCTTTTTTCTTGTGGGTGGTCCATTTCACACCCCTACCTTCGTTATCAAACGCACTTACCAAACCAACTTGATCTTGCTGGATTTCAACTATTAGGTTTGAGAGATAGAAACAAAGTGGTACTTTTCATAAGCTGCTGAACGAAAAACAGCACAACATACCTGTTATCTCATACATGTCTCGTACGTACCTGTTATCCTCATACATCGTCTGTATGGCATACGCTAAATCGACGTTTGTCAGCTCTTCAGCGTCTTGAAATTTCAGGAAACTATCACCACCGTGACCAGTGAGGTAAATCTGAACAAAAACAGATTAGCTCGAAGTTGAACATAAAGGTCCTAAGTAGATGGTTTTAGGCGCAAAAGTATGAGGTTGTCTTTCTGATAGATTTCCTGACAACCTAATTTACAAGATTTACATAATTATTAAGCACGCTACCTGTTGACTTCAACAGTCCTTCTCGACCAACTACCCAATGGTATAGGCTAAGAGGTGGGTCTTATTGAGTTGTTTGTAAGATTGATATTCTTACCCAGATTAGTGAGTCTATTATCCTCCGTGGTAGATTTCGAGTGGTCCTTGCCGACCACTGGTAACCATAATATTCAGAATGAAAGTATCAGGATTCACAGACTTTCATAGTTTTGATCAACACCGAACATTTCACTCTGCCTTTACAGCGAGCTTTTCCGTATCGAATGGTAACAGGCACTCAAGTCGATGCGCAACTTTCATCGCCCTTTCATCGTTACTCTTTTTACTCCAGATGGATCCTTTAATTTTATTCCAGAGATTATTCAAAGTTATTCCCCTTCCTTTTGAGTAGGCCCCTAGTTGAACCAGTGGTTAATTAAGAAGCCAGCGATACCCCAATCGCTCTATAATCTTTAAACTCATACTTGGTAACTTGTTCATCTCTTGGAGAAACGGTTTTTGCCCAAAATCACGTACCCTCTGCTTTAGAAAACCGGATAAGTGTCAAGTGCAGACCACACACCACAAGTGACGACGGCCTCACAAAATGTAGTTTTCTGCCAATGAAATGATTAGCCTGTTGCAGTTGTATTCTATCAGTTGTCACTACAATATCATTTACCACTATCAGCTATCACTATGAACCACTAGTAACCAGATTTACTTGGAGGCCGTCGTCACTTGTGGTGTGTGGTCTGCACTCGACGCGCATTTGGTTTTCGGGCAGCTCCATTGACATTTTTTCTTATGATACAAGAAATATGACATAAAAAACTGACCAATACATTGCTCTGATGATCTGTGAGTAGACGCTTTGATCGAGGAGTGGCCGGATGATGACGTCCAGTTAGAAGGCGAATGAAATTCTCCACAGTAACTTCCTCTCCTCGATAATCCACTTCAACGTCTATCCCATAGAGATTGTTCCCAGCACGAGCTGCGTATACAGTACCTGTAATAAATGATTCCGCCTCATAAAGCATTTTCTACGATGGATCTGAGTAGATAAGTCTG